GGCGGTGGCGGGGTGGCGGTGGCGGTGGCGGTGGCGGCGGTGGTGGTGGTGGTGGTGATGGCGGTGGCGGTGGCGGCGGCGGTGGCGGCGGTGGTGATGGGTGTGGCGGCGGTGGTGGTAATTACTACTGCTACTGCTGCTGCCCCTGCTGCTGCTGCTGCTGCTGCTACTACTACTACTACTACTACCACCACCACCACTACTTCTACTACTACTACTACTACGACGACGACGACGACTACTACTACTACTACTGCTGCTGCTGCTGCTGCTGCTGCTGGATGGCAGTAGTAAACTCGATCACCGGCCCTTCTCTCAGAAAGGATGTTGGCTGCATTGAGTTTTTTGGCTGGAAGTGTGCGTCCCCCACAGTCAACACTCTGTCTACACTACAGTCAACACTCCAGCCAATACTACAGTCTAACACTGCGAAAACACTGCAAATAACAGCGCTTTGTGGAATTTACACATTTTCAAATATGAAGAGCTTCACCTTTTTTATGAATAAATGGAAATGGTTGGTTTTTTCCAATGTTTCAGCCGTGTTGACTGCAGTGTTGGCTGAGTGTTGACTGAGTGTTGACTGTGGAAGCCCATGACATTTTGGGCCAGAATAGTCAACATCCCACAAGCCTGGACTGCTAGCATCCCCTTGGCACCTTCAGGGTTCATTTTCGCCAAATACATCTAGTCGGTGGATGGAGGAAATCCTGCACCACCTACAAAATAGGCAACCCTAAACCCTAAACCTCACACCCCGTTTCAGCGGACACCTGTTCCGTACCAGGCGGTGCAAGATCTCCCCGTCATTGGAACAAATTTGTTTCTGGAGACGTTCAATGCCAATGTTTAGAAGGGTGTACCGGGCTGAAAGAAATCCACTTTGTGAAGGCGGTGCAAGATTTCCTCCGCCCACAGTACTCCTCCATCATCATCATCATCATCATCATCACCATCCTCATCATCCTGGTTGTCACCCTCGTCGTTGCTGTCGCTGCCGCAGCCGTCCAATCATCAGTCCCATGGACACAAGAGCAAACGCTGACATCTGCGCAAGCAGCGGCAAAAAATCCTGCCTCGATGGCCAGCACGAAGTTTGTGGAGTGGCCGGTGGTCGACAAGGTCCCTGCCCTAATGGAGGTCTTGTAGATAGGACACCGGTACCTGCGCGGCATCCGTGAGTTTGGGATGCTCAAACTGGTACAAGCTGTCACACTTGCAGGAAGACAAGTCTAACTTCACGTCAAGCGAGCGAAGTCACCTCATAGTTATAGTTGCCATGTGTGTTACCATAAGGCAGCACTTGCACTCAAACCAGCGGAGCACTTCTCATTGTTTGCCTTCTTGTCCTGTCGAGCACAAGTGCATACATGCTAATATACATATATGTAATATGTATTGATATATCTGTAGGAGGTTTTTCGAATTGAGAACGCTTGTGCACCCTCTGAATAAACTGCATGGAGATTCTCCAGAGAACCCATGAACAATATATTAGGGATCATACTGAGAAATTTTCATAGACAAGCACATGCTTCACTTAGCAGCAGTGACCCTAAACCATAAACCCTAAACCCTATCGATTTCAGAAAATCGATCCTTCCACGGAATGAAGTTGATGACTGGCGACTTCACAAACCTGGGTTGCTGTTAAGAAACTTGATTTAGGTGGTTGTCAAAATTATGAGCCCTTTTTGGGTACCCTACATATCAGGTGCCGTATTATAATAGGGATCCAAACAGGGGCCATAATTTTGACAGCCACCCATTTAGGTTACGATATTGGGGAAACCATATTAATTTCTATAGATACCCATTATGGTAACCCTAAACCCTAAACCCTGAAAACCCTACATACCCATTATGGTATCCCTGTACCCTAAAACCCTGAAACCCCTATATAGCCATTATGGTAACTTAACAGCAACCCAGAAACATGGTGCCAAATTCTTGGTCGTCGATCACCATGTCTTCAAAGCTCCAGGCTGCACCATCCTCAGGATTTACATCCGGGGGAGGGGGGGGGGGTTCCAAAGTTTAGGGTGTAGGGTTTAGGGCTTCCCAAAAATTAAGGGGTTTATGTAGGGGTTCTAGGGAGATTCTACAAGATTTAGGGTTGTTATATGGGGATTATATATGGTTTAGGGTTTAGAGGGTTTCTCAAAATCTATGGATGCCTCTAACGGGTGCGATAGGGGAGATATGGGGGTTTTATGGGGATTATATAGGGATGTTTTGGGGGTCCCCATAGTAAGGATTATAGGATTTTCGTGCCATTTTTTGGGGGAAACCACCATCTCAAACCCTGGAAAAGTGGCCGTGGGAAATCTGAAACTTGCCAAGAAGCCATGAAGAGGCCATGGATGTAAATTCCTTCTGCCGGAGCTCCGTCCAATTCCTGGGTTGCTGTTAAGGAACTTACATTAAGTTACCATAATGCGTATATAATATATGTATATACATAGCAAATTATAGGGCTTCCCCATTATAGTAACTCAAACTAAGTTCCTTAAATCCCTATATTCCCCCAGTTTCCAATTCACATTCCTTTTTCTTTACCATTTGATTCTCCATTATAGGGGGATAAGATAATAAGTTCCTTAACCCTAAACCCTAAACCCCTAAACCCTAGACCCTAAAAACCCTAAAACCCTAAAGCAACCCAGATTCATGAGGATCCGAGGTGTCCTGCGGTCAACACACGGCGGCTGAGGGCTTGATTCTCAGCGGGACTGCAGGACCCCAAGCCCTAAACCCAAGATACCCCTATATAACCCCTATAACCCCCTTTAAAGGTATCCCTAATTTGGGGAAACCCCCTAAACTCTAAACCCTAAACCCTGTATAATCCCCTGTATAACCCCTACATAAGCTCCTAAATTCTGGGAAAACCCTAAAGTCTTTTCACTCCTGCATCACGAACTCAAAGGAGAGCTGGTCAACGGGGATCAGCTCCTTTCGCGAGTAGCCCTGGAGGACGGAGGTCAGGAAGCCCTGGAAGCAAGCAGTAAACAGGGTTTAGGGTTTAGGGTTTTTCATTATCCCTATAGAACCCCATAGAACCTTATAGAGCCCTATAGCTGCAAGCATGGAAGGATTCACAGAGCAAGGAATGCAGAGTTTAGAGTTTAGGGTTTTGGGTTCAGGGTTTAGGGTTTAGCCCAAATTCCAAAAAAGCCTGAGGGAAGTAGAAGGAGGAGATCCAGTAGGCGATGGGAATACCACCCTCAATCCAGTCCCGGAAGAAGTCAAAGCGGAGGATCATGTCCTTCAGACAGTAGCTGTGGCAGCTACCACTGACGCATATCACAGATCCTAAAAGCTCCGGTAGCAGAAAAGTGGCTGAGAAGTGCAGAGTTTGGAGGGATAACGGAAAAGAAAATGGAAACTACCATAGAAAAGTTGGGTATATATATAATGGGGTTATATAAGGATAGTGGAACAGAACATGGAAAGTACTATAGTATAATAGGGTCTTTTTCATGGGGTGGTCCTCGAACCAGGAGTTCAGGGGCTTCAGGCATGGGTAGCCGATACCATCTTTTGTCCAGATGTTCGGCACGCCATTGTTCAGAAGCGAGTTGAACATGTCATCCAGCTCTCCTGTCATGACCTAGGCTTGATCTTTTAGCCATCCCGGGGGGTTTCGGGTAGTCAGGCTATTTTGGGTTTAGGGTATTTAGGGTTACAGGTTTAGGGTTTAAGGGTTCTACTGGGTTGCTGTGAAGGAACTTAAATAATATGAATAATGAGTATATATAAAAGATAAGGCTTCCCCAATATGGTAACTTAGATTAAGTTTGTTTACAGCAACCCAGTTTAGCTATCCCTACTTCTAGGGTCAGGGAGACTTAGTAAGTAGGTTAAAAAGGGTGATATCTGGCTTTATTCTACGGGACATATGTAGGAGTTATATGTATACTTACTGAGTCCCCCTGAGCCCCCCCCAAACAAACATGGGAGTGTTCCAAACATGCGGGGTCGTTTTTGAAAGAGCCTATCATGAGTATGTTGGGCGGGTATATAAGGGAGATACCCACTTCTGGAAATGCCTGGAATTTCGGACGGCATGTGCACAGCTGCTTGCAGTCTCATACGACAGCCGGACAATCAGCATCTGAGGCGGCTGCGATGATACCTTTAACAGCCTGGAGGCAAGGCATGTCAAAGTGGATATGCCATGGATCATAGCAAACTGCGCTGCTCTCCGTGTCTGCAAACATCTACTGGCGGTTTCGAAGCCTTCTGCAGCTGCTTGAGAGTTGTTGTCATCTGCTGCAAGAGGCGGTTGAAACGGGCCATCTCCTGCGAACAAAAGTAGGTAGGTGACACAGACACGCAGAAGCGTGAGACAGTGACACAAGCCCAAGAACCGACTACCAAAGCCTCAACGCTACGAGAATCCACATGCCCTGCCCTGAGTACGCTGATTCAACGACAGCAACCGACGTGCCGAGCCTGGCTGAGGCATGTCCCAAGCGAGGTCATCAAACCAGTCTCCTGGATGCAGGCTGGGTACAGAGCTTTCAAGCAAGGATTTGCCATCTATATACTATAATATAGCATATTATACGATATTATACAGTATAATATACTGTATTATATAGTATGATATACTATACTTATGGTATAATATACTATAATACAATATAATATAATATAATGTAATATATGCACCATCCCACCTCGCTCATGGCGAAACTATCGGCATGCGCATTCTCCGTGTGTAGCCGCTCGGGGAGACGCGACCTCAAGACCAGTCCGTCGGAAGTCTTAGGGTTTAGGGTTTAGGGCTCAGGGATTTAGGTTTATATGGGGGTTTAGGGTTTAGGGTGTAGGGGGTGCGGGTCTAGGGGTTTAGGGTTTATAGGCTTCACCGATTTGCCGGTGTATGGATTCATCCCCCCTCCAGGCTTTGCAGCTACAGCCATGAGCTAAAATCTAAAATCCCAGCATCCCCCGTAGTTTATATAATCTCTTATATAACCCCCTTAAGGAATCTGAACCCTAAACCCTGAACCCTAAACCCTATACAATCACCTATAGCATAACCCCCTTTAAGGAGTTTAGACTAGAGCTTACGTGAAAAATGCTCCCATTGGCGCAACGTTTAAACCCTAAACCCTTAAACCCCCGAACCCCTAATCCCCTAAACCCCTAACCCCAAGCCCTAAACCCCTAAACCCTTAAACCCCAAGCCCCAAAACCCCCAAACCCTAAACCCCTAAACCCCCTAACCCCGAAACCC